CAAAGAAGGTTAATAGTGGCCAAGTTTTCTATTTTTTTTTTAAAAAAAAGGCTTATTTTTTTGTATATTATATCCTGACTACAGTTTTCCCTCCCTGAACTCTTCCCAGTCCCTCCCTCACATCCTCTCTCACTCAGATCAATTCCTCCTCTGTTTCAGAGAGAGAGCAGACCCACCAATCATGGCCTCATTATCATATCATATCATATCATATCATATCATATCATATCATATCATATCATATCATATGTCATGGCTGAACATGGCAATGCAGTAGGAGGAAAGGGGTCCCAAATGCAGGCAAAAGAGTCAGAAACACCTTCACTGTGATTGTTGGGTGTCCCATAAGAACATAAGGCTACACAACCATAAGGGATATGCAGAGGACCTAGCACAGACCCATACAGGGTCCATGTTTGTTGATTCAGTTTCTGTGAGCCCCACTTAGGTGATTTTGTGGGCCATGTAAGCGTAGTGTCCTGGACTCCTCTGATTCCCATAATCATTCCTTACCCTCTTCTGTGGGATTCCCCTGGCTCTGCCTACTGTTTGACTGTGGGTCTCTTCATCTTCTCCCTTCCATTGCTGGATGACACCCCTCTGATGAGTATATGAGCATTACAAAACATCATTAGGAATCATTTCATTCATTTTTTAAATTATGTATGGTTCTATCTCAGGCCTCTGTGCTGTCCTGCCTCTGGTCCACTGGTTCCTGGTCATCCAAACAGTGTAAGCCATGGGCTCCCTCTTGTGGCATGGACCTCAAGTAGGACCGGTCAGGGGTTGGCCAATCCCATAAATTCTGCACTACCATTGCCTCAGCACATCTTACAGGCAAGACGGATAGTAAGTCAAAGGTTTTGTGGCTGGATTGATGTCCCAGTCCCACTTCTAGGGGCCTTGCCTGGCTACAGAAGATGGCCAGTTCAGGCCATATATCCCCAATTATCCCCTATTACCAGAGGACTTTGCTAAGGTCACTCTCATAGATTCCCAGGAGTTTCCACTGCACTGAGTTTCTACATCACCCCCCAAACATCCTCCACGTCTAGTCATCACATCTCTCCCAGTTCTCTCTCCCACTTTGGCTCCCATCCCCCCCGTCCTGTTCCTATCCCTACCTGCCCCCCAGTCCACACACA